CGCTTTAAAATAGTCGTCCACGTACGCTTGGTCTCGCGTAGGGTCATCGAAAAAGGCATATAAATCTTTTGACGAAAAAACAGCTTCAGGAGTCAGGCATAGAGTGGGCTGAAATTTCACAAAGATTTTCTATATCCTTATGCGAGCTAAAAATTTCAAATTCATATGTCAAAATCAAAATTCCGCAGCAAAATGCCATCTCGGAGATCAATTTGATTAAAGCGTCTTGACTTGGCAAGAATGTTTATTTTCCATACTCGAGTACGTAGGCATAAAATAAGTTTCATATTTGTAAAGAAAGGCGGTTTCGCCAGCTAATCAAGTCAAAAACGTGAAATTTCGCGGGGATATTCTACGCCTATGTACAGCCTAATAATTTCAATATCAGCTTTAAAGCACGCCTTGCCGATTTCCGACTTTTAAAGTGTCAAATAAATCAGGAAGGTATGTTACTGCATGTGCACCTGGGATAGCGTTTTAAAATCGGAGAAGCTGTTCTCTTGTGAGATATGTCACTGCCGCGAAAGAATGACAATAAATTGCGGCATGTACCAGGACAGCCGGTGTGATCATGCGCTTTGCGCAGCTGAGTTCCTCTTCTCACAGCATAAATGATTAGATTGTCCTCTTTAACGAATTATTACCAGATTTATGGTTTTTATGCGTTTTTGCATCTATGCAATGCAAAAACGCATATTGCAGAGGGTTGCCTGTGTGTCTGTGTGTGCGTCTGTAACGAGTTTTCATTCGAGATACACAAAAGCTACAAGGCTGAAACTTTAGACCTTAATCTAGACACAGGTGCAGGCTCTATCCTCAAAGTGGACTCTCGGGTCCGCGTGGCTCTCAAGTACGGACACGTGAAAGTTTTCTTGGCGGGGGAACGTTTTTGGAAACGGCATAAACTAGGAGACTGGAACTTCACAGAGATGTTTCTTGGCCGCGTTTAATCCAAAAATTTCAAATTTAGCCTTTATGCACCCATAGATCCCTGTACGCACACGTCAAAGTCTAAATTGGCACCATGCCAACAAAAGA